CTAAACAAAAGAAACCTGTTTTTAAAAAGCTGTACATGAGGGGTAGACCTTATGGTGCAACAGGTTCAGCTCCCATACAGGATCCCACAAGCCATGACCTAGCAGTTGTTCAAGTCCTGGTCACTCAGCTGCTAATCCAGCTTACTGCTAATGTGTCTGGGAGGCAGTGGATAACAGCCCAAATGCCTAAGATCCTATCACCCACATAAAAGACAGCTGGAGTTCCGGGATCTGGCTTTGGACTGGCCCAGCCCTGGATGCTGTGGGCATGTGAAGAGTGAACCAGCAGATAAGACCTTTCTCTTCTCTGCAGAGTGACAGGGAGAGAGCAATCTTCTGTCTGTTAGATCACTCATCAAACAGTGGGAGCTGGGCCAGGTTGATCTCCCTCACAGGTGACAACAGCCCAAGCAGATGGGTCACCATCACTGCTTTCTCAGACACATCAGTGGAGAGCTGGATAGAAAGCAGAACAGTCGGGATTTGAATCAACACTACAATATGAGACACCAACACTGTAAGCAGCACCTTAATCTGCTGTGCCAAACAATCTGCATAAAGTTAAACAAAAAGCAAAAACTAAAACTAAAACAAACAAAATCCCATGATTTCAACTAAGCAACATTTTAGAAAAGGCAAAACTATAGAGGCAATGGTAAGGTCAATGGCTACCACTGATTGGGATACTGGAGCAAAGCACATGCGGTGTTTAGGACAGTGAAATAACTCAATGATTTCAAAGTGTAGTACTATCTACTTGTCAACAATCACAAAACTTACAGGTGCATCCTAAAGTCAATGACAGAGATGATGCTAAATTATCAATACCAGTTCATTAACTGTAACAAATGTACCAAATGCAAGACATTAATAACAGGGGAACAGTTGGGGAGGATGAGATATGGAACTCTGTGCTATCTGTTCACTTACTCTGTAAATCTCCAACTATTCTAAAGTTTGAACTAATGTAACAATTACCTTAAATCAACCTCAGCCATCCTTTGTATAGCAAGACAGAACTTATGTTCACTAATAGAGATGATGTTATATTTAAGTCAATGGAGGAATTTTATCTCTGAAAAATAATCTGATAAATTCAAAGCCACAAAACATGCAAGGGGCGAGGAAAGAAGGAATCTAAAACAGATGGCATCTAAATTTTTTCCTGAGTCCATTGTGAACACAATCCCAATAATGTCAAAATCAAATTTAGCTCTCCAAGTAAGTAACCTACAAAATTTAAAATGGTAATTGTGAAGGAAATTCACTATTTTCTTTAAGTTTCTCAAAGGTTCTATATTTAGGCAGAAATGAGTAGAGACAAGTCAGACGTTCAAAAGAGAAAAACTACCCTTTCATAAATTCAGAAGTCTTCATGGGAAATCTATTTCCAGTTATCTAAAGCAATTGAAGAAATTTTCATCAAGCATCTATGATATCAGCCATTTTTAATGATAGTTAATATTTATTCTCATTAGAGACTAAATCGTACCTACATAAAACATATATTTTAAAATAAAAACAAATGCTGCAAGAATACTTCTTTGCTTTCAGTAAAGACCACTGTCAGAACATCATTTACCATTTCTATGGTTAATTTTTTTTTCATTCTTGATTTGATAGCACCCCTCAAACAAAAAACTACATTGTTCATTATATGATTTGAATATATGGTACATATATAAACCTTCTCAGTTTTTCCAAAAATCTCAAGCCATCATAGGCACAAATATTAAAGGAAGGTCTGCTCATTTTTAGAGCTCCTGTCAAGCAAATTCCATAACTGACAACTGCAAGGATCCCTGGATGGTCACATATTTCAAGGAGAAGAGGTTACTGAGTAGTCTCAGAAACCTGACAGTCTTATTTGTTGCATGCGAAAAAACAAATTCGAACTCTATTACCTAAATGAATTATTATACAGTTTTATAAAAGGACAGAGAAAAAGAAAAACTTCTGATACCACCACTTAGGAAGCCCACATCCCTCATGGGCATATGGCACTTCAAGTCTCAATGACACTGCCTCTGACCCAGCTCCTTGCTAATATGCCTAGAAGCAGCAGAAGATGGTTCGAGTACTTGAGTTACTGGCACCCACATGGAGACCGAGTTTGACTCCTGGCTGCTCCACTTCTGATCCAGCTCCTCTCTAAAGAGCCTGCAGAAAGCAGTGGGTGATGGCCCAAGTTCTTAGATTCTTGCATTCACATACACAGGAGCTCCAGGCTCCAGGTTTCGGCATGAAACCCGAAACCTGGAGCCAAAGCAGTTGTGGCTATTTGAATAATGGACCAGAGGATGGAAGAGATTTCTCTCTCCCTCTCTCTAATAATCTTGATTTTCTGGTTTGTTTGTTTGTTTAAAGATTTATTTTCATTGGAAAGTCAGATACATAGAGAAGAGGAGAGACAAAGAGAAACATCTTCCATCCGATAATTCATTCCCCAAGTGGCCACAACTACCAGAGCTGTGCCGATCCAAAGTCAGGAGCTTCTTCCAGGTCTCCCACACGGGTGCGGGGTCCCAAGGCTTTTCGCCACCCTCCACTGTTTTCCCAGGCCATAAGCAGGGAGGTGGGTGGGAAAAAGGACTGCTGGGACATGAATTGGCGCCCATATGGGAATCTGGTGCACGCAAGGAGAGAACCTCAGCCCCTAGGCTACCGTGCCTAAAAATTCTGATTTTCAAATAAGTAAATAAGTCTTAAAAAAAATACTAACTGCAAACTGTAGGAAAGAAAGGAAACCAACAGCTAAAAATCTGATATCTAATAGGTTAAAGATTATTTTAAACACAAAAAATGAATAAAGACTTCATGTGTCTTGCATTAATTTCCATATTCCAAGAACAATTTAAAGGTAGAAAAGTATTTTTTATTTTAAAAAATGACATTTCTATTGGAAAGGCAGACTTACAGAAAGAAGGAAAGATAAAAAGATCTTCCAGTTGCTGGTTCACTCCCCAAATGGCCACAACAGCCAGACCTGAGGCAACCAGGAGCCAGGAGCTTCCTCCAGGTCTCCTACGCGGGTACAGGGTCCCAAGGCTTTGGGCCATCCTAGGCTGTTCTTCCAGGCCAGGAGCAGGGAACTAGATGGGAAGTGGCATAACCAGGACACAAACCAGCACCTATATGGGAGGCCAGTGTTTCGAACTGGAGGATAAGCCAGTGCAGACATTGTGCCTGCCCCAAGTGTTCTTCCATTTATTCTCCAGGACATTACATACAAGCATTCTGTAAGTTTTGTCTAATTAAGAGAAATCAGGCTACTGATTCTATACTTTGTAATTTATATCCCAATCTAAATTATCTTAACCAAATATATGACATTACGATTTATATGTGGGCGGGGAGACAGGGATAAATAAGCATTCCTTTTAAATGTTTTTCATGTCAACTCATACTCTGTACACCAACATGGTGAATCTGAGAAAAACGTAAGAAATATACTTTGGTCACTTCAATAAATAGGACCTAACCCTAACTATTATTAACTTTTAAGTAAATACTGATGATTTAAATTAAGACTGCTCCCAATTTCTAGAAGCCCCTGAAAGTCTAGCCGCATGCATGCATTGCACTATTATTACCCAGTTTCCTTCCTATTTCAAACCTCTTTCCACAAAACTGAGCTACCTCAACTCTACGATTAATGACCATTCATTCCTGCCATTCAAAGCTGTTTCTGTTTAAAATGGGCTGTTACTTAACTACATGACTCCCCCTCTTTGCCTGGTAAGAAATTTAGCTCATTTCATATGAAGAAACCGAAGTTCTACCAGGATGTACGACTTACCCAAGGTCAACAGCTAGCACGCAAGCGGCACAGTACGGCTTCAATCTGACTTATCTACCTTAAAGCCAACACTTCCACCTAACCACAATGATCTCCTTAAAAGATTATGGCACGGGCTCAATAGCATGAACTCTGGTCTCTGAAAGCTCACGTCTATTCCGAGCTATCCCTACCACACCTGTAATCCAGTCAGCGACGCACGAGAGGATCTTTCTGCTTCATTTAAACTAGGGCAGCTTTAGTGGCAGGTAAAAGAGGCTGGAAAAGGCTTGCCTCAACATGTCTTACCTAGACCTCTAGATCTAAACGGTTTCTCCAGTCTTTTACTTACTTACTTACTTACTTACACACACACACACACACACACACACACACACCGACCTACAAGGCAAGCTACGCCTCACTAGCCTATAGTTGGGTGCTGACAGAATTGCACTCGGCTAAGACAACTTACACCAGATTTCACACCGAGCTTGGAGAAACAGTCGGGTATTGCCTTACCGGCACTTTTCCACCATGTGAAGTTAGCATTTTAAAGGCAACACATCCAGTTCCACACTCTATTTTACACCGTGATGCCTTCCCACTTTGGGGGGGGAGTTGAGGGGGGACGCACAGCTCCTCTAGGACGTTGGGGCGAGGGAGCAGTAAAGGAAGAAGTGGGGGAAGCGCACGGAAGTTGGGTGGAGGGAGGTCTCATTACCCACTCTTCTGCCCTAGCTCTGCCAAGGGCGGCTCCCCGCGGTGCCCAGCCGTCTGGGAGCCCCCTCCACCAACCCTCAGAGCCCGCAATCTGTCCCAGCAGGGATGGGCAATAAAAGACTCCTGGAAGGATGGACCTGCCCCCTTCCCAGCCACGCCGCTCGGCCCTGGGGGATGCTCCCCCACCCCCTTTTCCACAGTGAGCCCTCCAGGTGCCAAACTCCAGGGTCCGCAACCGGCCAAAGACTTCTGCCTCCGAAGGGGCGCCTGTGCCCGGCCACCCCAAACTCTCCGCCCTCGGGGCTCCCCACAGTTCTTCCATTCCACCCCCGCAACCTTCCACAGACACACACACACGCCGGCCAGAACCCCGCCCGGACCCCTCCACCCCACACACACACACACACACACACACACACACACACAACAACCTCCTCACACACGAACAAACACCGTCCGACTCGAGCTGCCCGGCTCCCGTCGAAGCCGGAGCGGGTACCTGGTGCGGCCGCGCTCCGGGGCTCCGTGGGGGCGGGCGCGGTCTCCTCCCGGAGGCGCCCAGAGCCGGTCTCTGCCACCCGCTGCGGCGGCTCGGCTTTCCCAGGAGCCGGCGGGCGGGAGGCGAGGAGGCGGAGGGGAGGGGGAAGGCGAGGAGCCCTAGGGGCGGCGGGGGCCGAACCGGAACCACTAGCGCCGGCCCCGCCCCTCGACCGGGAGCCCGCAGCGCACCCTGCCGCTCCTGATAGGATGACTCTGGAGCAGGCGTGGAGAGATTGACACCACCACTTCCGGGTCAGCCCCGTGCGGCCACTCCTTAGCAACCGCGTGGGGTTGCTAAGCGGAAGTGCCTTCGAAGGCACCCCCTCTCACACACACACATCCACCGTCAGTTCTTCGGGACCAACAGGAGATTGGTTAAGAGGGAGAGTAGTTTTTTGCTTTGGCGACACTCTGAGCTGCTGCTCCTGGGCTGGGGACCGAGTGGACTCTTGGTGGCCCGGCAGCACGCCGCCAGTCCCGCTTTCCCACCGCCTCCCACCACTCGCTCGCACCTGCTGCGTGCTGCCGTATAACCCAGCAGCCCCGGAGGAGGGGGCTCCTCAGGCGGCTCTTTCCAGGCTCTCCAAGGAGTTCCTTTTCTGACAGTTCAGCACGCATTACCCTCTGGTGGGTTTTCCAGTTGTGTTTCAACTAGATTTGTAAAATCTCCTGTCGTGTTGTGCAAGCTTTTCCGTGCACTAGGATCTCCTGCAGCAGTCTCTGAAGCTGAAATGGTGAGAACATTTTTTTGTCTTCACCTGGCTTTTTGTTTTTTGGTTTGTTTTGTTTTGTTTTTGGTGAGGGTTGTGCACATTTGTGTGTGGTTTGGAAATAGCCTAGCTAAGTGGAAAAGAATTTTTTTTTTAATCGATGTAATCCCTAAAACGGTAAACAAAGAAAAAGTCCAAAGGCAACCAGGAATCAAGCTTCAGAAAGTGGAAAACATCTGCCACTCTTGACATTCAGATCTACTCTTTAGGCAAGAAAAGTATCCAAAAGAAATGTCATTTTTTTCTTGTGTTTGGGTTTGAAAACATTAGGAAAAGCTGGGGCTAGGAGGTTAGCTCAGTTGACTTTTCCTCCACCTACAAGCACCAGCTGTCTTCCCATATGGGTACTGGTTTTTGTCCCAGCTACTCCACCTGGGCTCAGTTCAGCTCAGCTCCCTCCAGCCATTGCAGCCACTTGGGGAGTGAACCAAAGGATGGAAGATCTCTCTCTAAATCTGCCTTTCCAATAAAAATAATTACATTTTTGTTTATTTGTTTTAAAAATTTATTTATTTTATTGGAAAGGCAGATGTGCAGAGGAGCAGAAACAGAGAGGAACATCTTCTGTCCGATGATTCACTCCCCAAGTAGCCGCAACGGCCAGTGCTGCATCGATCCGGAGCCAGGAGCCAGGAACTTCTTTCCAGGTCTCCCACATGGGTGCAGGGTCCCAAGGCTTTGGACCGTCCTTGACTGCTTTCCCAGGCCACAAGCAGGGAGCTGGATGGGAAGTGGAGCTGCCAGGATTAGAACCAGCGCCCGTATGGGATTCTGGCACGATCAAGGTGAGGACCTTAACCATTATGCTATCACACCAGGCCCAATTGCATCTTTTAAAAAAGAAAATATTAGGGAAACTTGGCAAGGTTAAAAAGCAAAATAATCATCCATAAAAGTCACCCATATTATTATGATAATTAAATACTCAGAGAAAACAATTGAACATTCAGAGAAAATAAGATTTTCACTAGGCTTTCCTGTCCTGAAATGAGCTTGTTTGAAAGCAGTAACGCTTCAGAATAGTTCCTGGATTATTTTCTTTTCCATATCACTGGATTGGAATACTTGAAACTTCAGACTCCGGTTTTATTAGCCATGATAACTTCTTCATGGTAGGTTTTGGACTGTTGTCCACCTCAGCTAGGACAGGAAATGGTTGGTACTGGTAACTTAAACATCAGGTCTGTTGGTTTCCAGTACTCATGAGAAAGCCTTCATTGAGTGTCAGTGTTGTGGCACTGCACGTTAGGCCAATGTGTAATATGCTATATCCCAAATAGCCTTCCTAGGTTAGTGCTGTGCCTTTATCCTACAGGTTAATGTAAGACCTCAGTCTTTTCTTGAAGTTTCCTTAAGGTTTCTAGTTTTTTGGGTTTTTTTTTTTTAAGGCTTATTTGAAAGGCAGAGAAACATAGATCTTACATCTGCTGGTTCACACCCCAAATGGCCAAAACACTGGAGCCGGACTAGGATGAAGCCAAAAGCAAGAACTCCATCTAGGTGTCTCATGTAGTTGGCAGGGACCCAAGTTCTTGGGCCATCTTCTGCTTCTTCCCCAGGTGCATAGGCTGCTAGATCTGAGGGGCAGAAGCCAGGTTTCTATCCGGTGTCCATATGGGATGCTGGCTTTGCAGGCAGTGACTTAACTTCTGCAGCACAACCCCAGTGCCTCTAGATTATAAATACATAAAATAATCACTTGAGAAACACGTATAGACCTGCATGGTGGTGCAGTGAATTAAGACAGAGCCTATAATGCCATCAGCCCATATCAGAATGACATTTACAATTCTGACTAGTACACTTCCCATCTTGTTTCTTGGGAATGTACCTAGGAAGCAGTGGAAGATGGCCCAAGGTCTTGGGGCCCTCCTAATAACAGAAGTCCCATGTAGAGTCTGGATCCTGGCCCAAATCTGGCAGTCACAGCCTTTTGAGGAGTGAACCAGCAGATGAAAGATATCTGTCAGTCTACCTTTCAAATAAACAAATACATCTTTAAAACATAATTACTCTAACATTTATTTAAGGAAACCCAATGCTGTGCCTACTATTTAATATTTTAATATTCATTAATATTGAAATAATTATTCTGAGTTTTAAAATATCAAGCTCCACTGGCATTTTCAAATACAAAAACATATCAAAAATAGTCTAACACAAGCAGTAGGAACAATTTGGCCTAATTTACCATTGAAGTACCTCTTATATTCAAAAGTGCTCAGAGACTTTGAATATATATATGATCAGAAGCAATGAAATGTTAAGCCTTAAGAAGGATTATAGATATAATAGTTACCTTTAAATAAGAGTTGTCATGTGGCAGGAATAACTTGCTCTGTTATTTCAAGAAACCAAAAATAGGAGAAATTGAGTTTAAAAAAAATTCAAATTCATGGGCCTGGCATGGTAGCCTAGTGGCTAAAGTCCTTGCATTGCACACATGAGATCCCATATGGATGCCAGTTCTAATACCGGCAACCCCACTTCCCATCCCAGCTCCTTGCTTGTGGCCTGGGAAAGCGTGGAGGACAGCCCAAAGCCTTGGGATCCTGCACCCGCGTGGGAGACCTGGAGAACGGTCCTGGCTCCTGGCTTCGGATCAGTGCAGCATCTGCCATTGCAGTCACTTGGGAAGTGAATCATCAGATGGAAGATCTTCCTCTCTGTCTCTCCTCCTCTGTGTATATCTGCCTTTCCAAAAAAATAAATAAAGCTTTAAAAAAAAAGCCTTCCCAATAAAAATGAGTAAATCTGAAGACAAACAAATTAGATGACTTATTACAATGTCTCCCAGTTGTGTATGTGCTTTAAGGCTTATTTATTTATTTGAAAAGCAATTATAGAATGAGGAAGAGGCAGAAAGAGAAAAAAAATGTTCTGTACTTTTGCTTATTCCCCAATTGGCCACAACAGCCAGCACTAGGCCAGGCAGAATCCAGGAGCTGGGAGCTTCTTATAGGTCTCCCATGGATGCAGGTGTGCAAGCACTTGAGCCAACTTCTGCAGCTTTCCCAGAGCAGTAGCAGAGAACTAGATCCAAAGTGGAACAGCTGGAAATCAAAAGGAATCATAGGAGATGCCAGCACCGCAGTTAGTAGCTTAAGTTGTACCACAATGCTGATCCCTGCCTCCCAGTTTTAATTGAATGGAAATCTCTCTGCCACCTCTATATACCTACTGTTCTCAGAGATAGAAGGAACCGTTTTAACAGTGTTGGGTGGACCCATCTGATCCTGTAATTTTTCCAAAAGTGGGTTACTCCAAGGCAATACAGTAGGATTTTGTAGATATGTGTGTAAATATATGTATATACATACACAGTTTAGGCTTTATTATGAGTAAAAACTTTTTTTTTGGAGAGGCAAAGCAATAAAGGTCGATAGAGAGAGCTCCCATCACAGGTTTACTCTCCAAATGGCCACATCTCAGTCTGGTCAGGCCAAAGACAGGAGTCAGGAAAGCCATCCAAATTTCCCATGTGGGGGGCAGGGACTCCAAGTGCTTGGGCGATCCTCCTCCACCTTCCTAGGTACAGCAACAGGAAACTGCATAGGAAGCAGAGCAGGCAGTACACTAGCTGGCTCTCGTATATATCTTAAAGAACTACAAACATTTTTTTTAACTTATTTGTTAGCAAAGAAACAAAGCTCCCATCCACTGATTTGCTCCCTAAATTAAAAAAAAAAAAAAAAAACCTTGAAAAGGAAAAGTTTAAGTAGGACCTGTGCCAAACTAAAATGAAATATCAAATACTATACACATGAAATGTGTAGGTTCTTTAGCATCAGAACTTTTTAGAAACAATTATGCATCAAAATGGACCTCCCTGGGCATACCACTATAAACTTTCGTTCATTAGTGAAAAATAGCAAATCAAGTTGCAGACCCACTAAAAGTTTACTTTAATAGCCTTGAGTGATGCTTCTCCTTAAAAATACAGCTGCAGTACTTGGGATAAAACATTCTGTCTCCAGTTCATCAGCATTCTGTTTAGCATCTGCCTCTAAAAGTCAAAGCAAAAAAAAAAAAAATGTCATGTACAATTATCAGAACACAGACAATTTGGAAGTTAATAAAATCAGGTCAGTGAGCTATCTGTATTTAAAGGAATAAAATAGAAACATCTGGTAGGACAAAATCTTAGGAAGTACACTAATGGATAGTATTTTGAATAAGCATCATTTATTGTAAATTTCAGAAAAATATTCCAGTTACATCAGTTAATTTTGACAATAGACTGTTACCTAATAATATTATACCCAATTCTCTAATTATATCATTAGTTGTCCTGGAAAAGGTAATAATTCGGAAGAGCTTTAGACATAGCTCAAAGTTATTATAGCATAATTTGCATTTCAAGTTTTATCACTTTCCAACTTTGAAAATACAGGCCTTAAGGATAATATTCTATAGCACCAAATAAATTGCATGTCCTAAGAAAAATCCTATTAGTGTAGTCTATGGAACCATCCTCCCGATTCTCTTCTAGTATTTCATCTTGTTGGCTAGCAACCGTTTACACTGTCAGGATCAAACTGTCCTTAAATTTTTTTATGGAGAAGATATCCGTCCAAAATTTTTTAACATTCCATATTTTGCCCCCATTCTGAAAAATGATAAAGATCACATTTAATTAATACTGTTTTTTTAAGTGTACACAAATCTAACTTTGTTTTTTAGCACAAATAAAAGGAATACAATATAGCACCAATTCAGTAATCCAGTGACATCAGTACAAAGGTCTAAGCAAGTCTAAGTACAGCCAATTAACAATTTGAACATAATGTGATGATTTAATTTTAACAAGAACATGTTTAATAATAAGCAGAAGAGCAAAATACTATTGAATATAAAATTCAGTAAAGATAACCTTGCAAATTTTCCAATTTCAGGACTATTTGCTTTTGAACAATTAAATTTTAGCCTCATTTTAAAAATAAAATGCCTATTCAAAAAAGCTAATTGGAAGAAACACATCTACGCAGATTTACATCTCAGAATAGTGGAGTAAACAGGACAAATTATTCAAAGATGAATGAGGAAGTTCTATTCTTGTTCGTCGTCTGTGTCATCGGGTTGCACAGGACGTGATCTGTGGGAAAATAATCATTCAAATGTCAGCTGCTTTAAAAAAAAAAAAAAACCAGGGCTAGCCTTGTGGCATAGGGAGTAAAGCTACTGCCTGAAATACCAGCATCTCATGGGCACTAGGTCATGTCCTGCCCACTCCACTTCCGATACAGCCCCCACTAAAGGCCTGGGAAAAGCTGCAGAAGATGCCCTCAAGTGCTTGGATCCCTGCTTCCCCCACATGGGAGACCTGGAAGAAGCCCCTGGCTCCTGGCTTCAGCCTGGCCTATCCTTGGCCATTGGGGCCATCTGGGCAGTGGACCAGCACATGGAAGATCTCTCATTTCTCCCTCTTTGTTCAATGCTACAGAATATGACTTTCAAATAAATAAACCTTAGCAAAAAGAGAGAAACAAAATTAATTACAAATCTATATATTAATAGTGCAATTGAGTCTGGTCAAGTAAAAAAGAAATTAAAGTCTATTAATTGACAAACACCTACAAATCTCAAAATTTAGAGTAATATTTTTAAAACTATTTTGCCTGTTGATATGCTGCATCAGTGGGTTTTCTTGAGAATATGTTGTCACTTTTTTCTTATAAAAAAAAAATGTGTTTTCGTTGGAAAGGCAGATTTACAGACAGAGGAGACAGAGACCTTCAATCTGCTGGTTCATTCCACAAATAATTACAACAGCCAGAGCTGAACTGATCCAAAACCAGGAGCTTCTTCTGGGTCTCTCATATGACTGCAGGGTCCCAAGGCTTTGAGCCATCCTCCACTGCTTTCCCGAGTCATAATCAGGGAACTGGATGGGAAGTAGAGCAGCTGGGAGTCAAACTGCCACCCATATGGGACGCCAGTGCTGCAGGCAGAGGATTAGCCTGTTATTCCACTAAGCTGAGCCCCACGGAAACTCTATTTCTACAGCATCTTTCAACATGTTAAGTATATTGATAAATTCTTGTAATCCTCCAAAAAGAACTTTATAATAAAAGCCAAAAAATTAACCAATCTATTTGAACATATGAAGCATATTGCAGATTGTCATATTTAACTGTATATGCTTTTCAAATATGAATATATTACCTAATTAGGAAAACTCCAAAATTGTTTGTTAACCTGTTATAACTTTTGAAAAATGTTTATTCGTATTTTTATCTATTTGAAAGGCAAAGCAACAGAGGGAAGGAGAAAGAAAGACATCTTCCATCTCCTGGCTTACTTCCCAAATGCCTGCAACAGCCAGAGCTGGGCCAAGTCAAAGCCAGGAGCCAAGGACTCCATCCATGTCTGTTTTATGGGTAGCAGACTCAAGTATTTGAATCATAGTAGCAAAACTGGATCTAGAGCCAGGGGCAGGATTCTATGCCAGGCACTGTGATACATGATGTGGTGTCCCATGCAGCAGCCTGACAACCATACTGCAGTGCCTTTTCTGACAACTGCAGCATTTGGAAAACATTTTACATTACCTCAAAGCTAGCTGGTACTCATTACAACAATTTTTCTATAGAAAAGATCAATTTAAAACTTAGTCATAAATCATAATTTTTAGAACTGACAAAGATTTGTGAATTGTACTCTGAAATATTTAGCTTTTAAATTAGATGAATAAATTGAATGGTCATTGAGCTATGTATGAAAAAAGAAAGCTAAAACCAAGGTATTCTGATGGGATATAAAATTATCATTGACTCATGTGCTATTGTAGAGAGATCTCATTGTATTTCTTGGAAATCAATTTAACCAATTAATACTACAATGACCTCAATTTCCCTTTTTGCAAGGACTTGGTTTACTTTAGACATAACAAGCCTAAGTAATATTCTTAACAAGACCATACTTGTAGCCACATTCCAGAATATAGAGTTTATGGTGTAAGTCCTGATAAACACATTTACTATTTCAACAAATGGATAATTATAATTCTCCTAGACAAACACAAATCTAAGAAGAGTTCTAAAACAAAAGTAAAACTCTATTATGTAAAGTTATTCTGCACAGCCATAGTGATTATGGGCATTTGAGGAGTGAACTAGCAGATGGAAGTTGACTATCACTTTCTCTGCCTCTCAAAAAATTCATGAAAAAAATGAAGTATAAGGATAAGTTTCTTTTGATACAAAAATATTTTTAAATCCATGCATAGTTTTCATAATAATCACTTTCTATGAACATTCTGAAGACCCCTCATAAGGGTGGCCACTGTGGTATGGCAAGCTAAGCTGCTTCTTGGGGCACAGGTATCCCCCACTGAGTTATCAGTTCAAGCTCCCACTACTGTGCTTTTCATCCAACTCCCTGCTAAAATGCCAAGGTGGCAGCAAAGGATGGATCGATAACCTGAGTTACCTGCGGGAGACCAGCACAGAGTCTGTGGCTCCTGGCTTCAACCTGGCCTAGCCCTGGTTACAGCTATTTGAGGAGTGCACCAACAAATAGAAGTTTCTCAACATCTCTCTCTTCCTCTCTCCATCTCCTTCCCTCTCCTCTTCTCTCCTCATCTCTGTTATTTTGCCTTCCAAACAAAGCTTTAAGAAGAGACCTTCATAAAATATTTTCATTTTTTGCAGCAAATATTTTAACTCCATTTTCCATGAACTTTTATAATAGCTGTACATTTTCATAGACATTGTGCAGTATTTCAACACATGTATATAAAATATACTGTTCAAATCAGGTAATTAGCAATCCTGTTTCCTTTTGTTTTCTTTATGCTGGGAGCCTACCAGCTCCTCTGTTTTAGTTCTTCCTAGGATATATAATACATTATCGTGAACTGTAGTTACCCTATTGTTTTGTTCCATGCTTTCTCAAGTGCCCTCTAATAACCTCTCATGATGGAAAGCTTTATAATGTAGGTTTTATCCTGTGATGATCAGCGTTAGAGACACATTTAGCTTTACTGCCAACTACCTTATTTCCCTAATGTAAATCGTAAATACTTCAAGAAAATTAAAACATGTTTTATGCAAAATCTTTTCAAAAGTGTTTATTTTCAACTACTTGAAATGCAATGAGTGAAAGAGAGAGGGGGGAACAGAGACTGTCTTCCTCCTGCCTCTCACAGCACACAGCAACAGAAAGCATTACTGGAGTGGGAGTAGCAATGAGTTGAACACACCCTGTAACAATGGGCAATGGACTTCCCAAGCAGTGGCTTAACACATGGTACTACAATGCCCACGTCATGCAGAACTTGACTGTTAGTTTGTTCATATTTGAAAGAACGAGGAAGAATGATCCCAGACAATGAGCAGGAACTATTACAAAACACTCATGAAAGCAAGCCTATTCAAAAATAAAAGCCTCAATTTAAAAATGTGTCCCTTTGGTTGTGATTGTTCCTGAAACCTGAAATCCTAACAGTAAAAACAAAGGCAAAGATTTACTGCTAAAAAGCTGAAACATAGGTATTAGACACTAACCAGTGATGCAGTGACCTTTTATGAACAACAATTAACAACTTTTAACATGTTGTATCTCTCAGTCTAAAATTTTATGTGTGTATTTGTAATTAGAAGGGAAAGATGGAGAGAGACATCTCCCATTTGCTAACTCATTCCCCAAATGCCTGCGATAGTCAGGGCCAGGCCGAAACCAAAGTCTGGAACTTCATCTGACTGCCTCACATGGTGGCAGAGGCCTAAGCATATGCACTGCTGCCTCAGAGTGTGCACTCCGAGGAAGCTGGATCCAATGTCATAAAGCAAGCACTTCCACTAGACACTCCGATATGGCATCAGGCCTCACAAGTGGCAGCTTAAATTGCAGTGCCACACACCAGCCCGATCACTCCCCCACTCCTGTATCACTCTGCCTTTCAAGTAGATGAAAATAAATAAATGCTTTCTAAAAACAAGGTTTCCACATATACAGGCAGTTGTAAAAGTTTTGCTTTCCAAAAAATCAAGACCATTCTGGAACCATAGGACTAGGTTTTATCTTAAAATATTAGCTGATACAAAAAAATGATTCAAATGTAGCTGTTTTGATCGCCAACTTTTTGTCTTTAAACAAAAAGTACAAGAGTTGTAAATTTAAAGCAGGTGAGTTTCAAATATTCACCTTCCAAATACCAGATTTATGTTATTTTGCCAACTTCTTTGCCTCTTAATTTCAAACTGTATCACATGTGCCTTCTAAACAAATTAATTTTGAATTTTGAAAAGTAGTCAACATGCAAAAACAGAAAGCTGCATTTTAAGATTAGTTGAAGTTAATGCATGTGTAATCTTTTGAATCAAGTTAAGTATGGTAGTAGATGCATGAACTTCACTTATTGCATGGAAATGTGTGAAGAGAAATGGCTATCATGTCATTTGTACATGTATATGCAGGAATTACTCATGCTTGGATTAGGACTAGATTCCAGTCCATCACTGCCCTGATACATGTCAGTTACTACATATCAAGTCAGAGTGTCAAATACAAAGCACCAGAGCAGTTCAGTTCCCAAGAGAACAGTGAAAGCTCCACAATGAAATACTAGAGTGTATGCTAGTATTTCAGCATTAAATTAAGACTGCTGATACAATACACAAAGGACAGATACCTGGTAGTTCCTTCTAATGTACATCAGAATAATATTTTCTATTAGCTATCTAACAGCTAATAGTGACCCAGAATAAAAAATTGAATATCCATTCCATAGCCAATCCTTTTTTTCTCTCTAGATCAACATGAAATTATTGATTTTAAGTTAAATTGTCCATATTTCTTAAGCCACGTTTATTGAAATTAACTAATTTTTGATGTTGTCCTCAATCTGCCATGTGAAATTCATTCATTATCTAGTTAAATCTTTCAGATGCTCTTTTTAAACTAATTCAGCTTGTGACCATCAAGATTTTCTGTGTTAATAAAATAAGGAGTAGAATCTGTAAATGTGATAAAGACCTGATTTTTTTTTTCTCCCCTGCCACATTAGACATCTAGGTGCCATTTAGATTGGGTTTGGACTATGATTTGGAGAGCTGTAATTGTTTCTTGGCATGAGATTCTTAGCAGAGATGTGGAAGGTCAAGGGAGACTAGAAAGAGGATGGCTGTAAACTTTACGCTGCTGTTGGGCAATGCTTTGTTGGTGGTTTCACAGTAAATTTGCACAATATTTTTTTACATAAGTTGAAGTAGTTACTTTTTGAGGCTAGCAATGAGAAATAGATAATTGGAATTCAAACTATATTAACCAACATGGAATTGTTTTTGAAAAAATACTAAGGGAGAAAAACAGACAATAAAAGAATGAAGGCATTAAGTTAATGGTAAATCATATAGCATTTACTATCTCAATAGGAATGTATCCTCTCTGAGTTACTGGAATGAGTGAAATATAATGCATTTTACTAACATTTGAAATTTGGGAATGAAGTAATGTAAGAAAGAGGACAAACTTACAGAAAACACTTGCTTTGGAGACAGGTTTTGGCATGGTGGCAGCAGTGTTACTTGACCCTCCCCTGTTACTCCCAGCTCTGATTCCTGCTAGCATGTGCCCTAGGAAGCAGTAGTTGATGATTCAAGTAGCTGGGTTCCTGCCACTCAAACAGGAGATCCAGATTGGGTTACCAACTCTTGGCTTTGGTGAGCCAATTTTTGAGGGTGTTTAGAGAGCAAACCAGCCGAAATGAGATCTCTCCCTGCCCATCTGTCACCCTATAACTTTCAAATAAAAAAAAATAGTTCAAAAATTTTTGGTTTACATCTTCTTACTGGCTTTAAAGGAAAACTAAAGTTACTTGGTATTACTTACCCTTTATTTTCAAAAGATAGTTTCGTTATAAGTCAACACATGAAAACTTACTTTCTGTTTGCCACTCCTATCCCACTGCTTCCAGCCTCTTCGGGAGCCAGATTCTCTTTGTCAGCTTCTTGGGAAGACAGCCTGAAGAATTCTCCAATTCCTTTTTGCCACTTGGGAGTTGGGCGCACACACACCGGATTCCCTCCTGCATACTTATTTTCAGCTGCAAAATATAAAAGCAGAATTAAATAAAAACCAAGAATACACTTCCCATTCCTTAAAAGCTTTTATTCTTTCTTTAGCATCAGCTTGTCAAAGACATTGAGATTATCTTAAGGATAGAGTTAGGAAATGTAACACAGTAAAGCTATATTCAATTAGTACTTTCAGTTTGATAGTTATCCTATAAAAAGCAATAGGAATTTTTAAAAAAATGATTGCTTGATTTGAAAGGCAAAGTAACAGAGAGCTTCCATCTACTGCTTTACTCCCCAAAGGGCCACAGCAGCCAGGGCTGGGCTAGGCCAGAGATAGGCCAGGACTCCCATCTGCGTCTCCCACATGGGCAACAGAGACTTAGGTATTTGGGCCATCTTCCATTGCCCTTCCAAGCCCATTACAGCAAAGCTGAATAGGAAGTAGAGCAGTCAGAATCTGAACTGGTTCCCTCACATAGAATGCCAGCTTTGTAGGGTGTGCCTTAACTTACCACACAGTGTCAACCCCAAGAGAATGTTGACAACTAGAAAATATTCTTGGGCCCAGCAGCTCACTGCTTACAGCCTGGGAAAGCTGTAGAGGATGGCCCAAAGACTTGGGACCCTGTACCCATAAGGGAAGTATACAGTGGATGGAAGATTTTTGTCTTCCACTCCATAAATCTGATCTGCCTTTCCAATCAGAATAAATAAATCTCGAAAAAAACTTCATATTTTGTTCATAGAACTATTTCAAAGTCTGCTCCTATACTACCATGCTAAAATGTGATAATAGTTTTTCATAATATAAGGTAGCATCATTCAGTATAAACTATCAAAATTTTGCTTTAAAAAGTCTTTTAAAGGGCCCGGCGCGGTGGCATAGTGGTTAAGGTCCTTGCCTTGCACGCCTGGGATCCCATACAGGCGCCAGTTCTAATCCCGGCAGCCCCGCTTCCCATCCAGCTCCCTGCTTGTGGCCTGGGAAAGCAGTTGAGGACGGCCCAAAGCCTTGGGACCCTGCACCTGCGTGGGAGACCCGAAAGGAGTTCCTGGCTTCGGATTGGCTCAGCTCCAGCCACTGCGGCCGCTTGGGGAGTGAATCATCGGACGGAAGATCTTCCTCTCTGTCTCTCCTCTCTGTATATCCGCCTTTCCAATAAAAAAATAATAAAAATATCCCGGATCCCGGGCGTGCAAGGCGAGGACCTTTAACCACTTGCGCCACCGCGCCAGGCCCAAAATAAATCTTTTTTAAAAAAGTCATTTAAAGCACATAATAGGCAATGTAAAAGCTTCTAGAAAAATGGGTTCCACTTTGCAAAGCACTTGGCTCCTGCTCAATTCATAAGAGAAGTCCAACTCTTGGTTCTCTTTAAATAATAACACAGAACAAAAATTGAAGAAAAAAAGATTTATTTATTTGAAAGGCAGAGCAGTAAAGAGCAAGAGAGAGATTCTGTCTGCTGATTCACTCCCCAAATGGCCACCACAGGCTTGGTGGGACCAGGCCAGAGCCAGGAGCCAGGAACTGCATTCTGGAATCACATGGGGATGGCAGGGGCCCAAGCACGTGGGCCATCTGCTGTTTTCCAGGTATATTACCTGGGAAGTGCACCCAAAGCAGAGCAGCAGGGACTCAAACCAATAATCCAACTAGGATGCCAATATCAGCTTAACCGGCTGGCTATATCACAGCACTGGCCTCCTTATGAAGTAACGATCCACAGGAGAGACTGGCAGTGTGGCATAGCAGATAAATCCACCACCTGCAACACCAGTACCCATGTGGGAGCCAGTTTGCATCCTGGCTGCTTCACTTCTGGCCCAGCTCCTTGCTAATGGCTTGGGAAAAGCAGCAGAGAAGCAGGCCCGAGTGTTTGGGCCCCTGTTACCGACATGGGAGACCCAGATGAAACTCCTGGTTGGTTTAGGCCCTTGTTATGGACATGGGAGACCCGGATGACGCTCCTGGTTTAAAGCCTGGCATAACCTTGAGTATTGAGACTCTCTGTGGAGTGAGCCAGCAGATGGATAACCTCTTTGTCTCTCTGTATATTTCTCCCTCTGTGTCTCTGACTTTCAAATAAATAAATCTCTTTTTCTTTTTTTTTTTATTTTTATTTTTTATTATTGGAAAGGCAGATATACAGAGAGGAGGAGTGACAGAGAGGAAGATCTTCCCTCCAATGATTGACTCCCCAGGCGGCCGTGACAGCTGGAGCTGAGCCAATCCAAAGCCAGGCGCTTCTTCCGGGTCTCCCACACGGGTGCAGGGTCCCAAGGCTTTGGGCCGTCCTTGACTGCTTTCCCAGGGTCACAGGCAGGGAGCTGGATGGGAAGCGGGGCTGCCGGGACCAGAACCGGCGCCCACATGGGATCCCGGCGCATGCAAGGCAAGGACCTTAACCACTGCGCCATCACGCTGGGCCCAATAAATCTCTTTTTCAAAAAAAAAAAAAAAACAGTGCAGAACACCAACAGGAGCAAATTATTGTGACTACATTTCTTTTTTTGTTGGTCAAACTCTACGAGTTAAAGTTTACAACGGTGGTTTTCATATAGATTGAAGTTATGTTTGTTATAATTTTCTTAAAAGTATTTTTTCTTTAAAAAGCAGAATTACAGAGGAAGAAAAAAAGACAGTTGTATGGTGGCATAACAGACTAATACTATAGCTCTGCTGCCAACATTCATATGCGCACTGGTTCAAGTCCTAGCTGTTCTACTTCCAATATAGCTCCCTCTTAAAGGCCTGAGAAAGCAGAGGAGAATGGCCCAAATTCTTGGGTCTCTGCACCCTATGGGAGACTTGGAAGAAACTCCAGGCTCCCCGCTTCAGACCAGCAGAGCTGGATATGAAGTAGAGCAGCTGGAACATGAACTGGCGTCGATATGGAATGGCGGTGCTTGAAAGGTGAGGATTTAGCCACTAAGCCATTGCACCGGACCTGGCCCCTGGAACTTTTTAAAAGTAGAAATGGACTCTTTTTGAAAAAAGGATGTTAGGAGGCCTTTGGCCCTGAAAGTTTAGACACCCATGGCCTACAAAGGAGTGGCTGTGCTAGAAGCCTGGCTCTGGCTCCCAGTTTCAGTGTCTTACAAATAAAGGAGGCATTCGCGGAATGACCCAGCAGGTAAGACCTCTTTGTCTCTCTGCTGCTCAAATAAGTTAATTTCTGAAACTGTAAAAAAAAAAAAAAGTAATAATTTTTCCAAAGTGTCCCTTTGGGAATGCTTTCACATGCTGCTAGAAAATATAGAGCAACAGTAGTTTCACACCCAGCCCTGCTGACTTAGCTAAATTCACACATGCACACAACACATAAACTTCATCTTCTGTTAAATAAGAAGTTACCAATTTCATAGTCACCAGAATTAAAAGTAGAGATTTTAAAATAGCTTAAAGGATACATTCACACACATTTTTTCAACACATTTCAAACACATTTTTTTTAAGATTTCTTTTTTTTTTAACCTGAGAGGCAGACTACACAGAAAGGAGAGTTTTACATTCTTTGGCTCACTCCTCAGATGGCCACAATGGCCAAAGGTGCGTCAATCCAAAGTTAGGAGTCAGGAGCTTCTTCCTAGTCTCCCTTGTGGGTGCAGGGACCCAAGGACTTGGGGCCATATTCAGGAAGCTGGATTGGAAGTGGAGCAGCCTACACAAACCAGCACCTATATAGGACACAGGTAGATGACTAATGTGCTACGTCACAGTGCCAGCCCCTAACACATGTTTTTCAAGATTTCTTTTTATTGTAAAGTCAGATATACAGAGAGGATGATCTTCTGTCCATTGATTCACTCCCCAAGGGGCCACAACGGCAAGGGCTGAGCCAATCTGAAGCCAGGAGCCCGGACTCTGCTCCGGGTCTCTCATGTGGGTACAGGGTCCCAAGGCTTTGGGCCGTCCTCGACTGCTTTCCCAGGCCACAGGCAGGGAGCTGGATGGGAAGCAGGGCCGCTGGGACTAGACCGGGGCCCATATGGGATCCCAGGATCCCGGCATGTGCAAAGTGAGGACATTAGCCACTAGGCTACCATGCCTGGCCCTAACACATAGTTTATTAAGGGACTGTTATTAAGGGCCAAATGGCTGTGATGATTCAGCCATTGTGATGCTCACAATGGAATGTGGCCCTTAAGGAATTCATTCTAGCGGTACAGAGCATAAGATAATCTAAATTCATCTACTCTTCAAAGTTTTACGTACTATTTCTTTTCACGTAAAGTGACTGAAATATTTTCCACCAAAATGGTTGGAATAGGGGGAAACAGGAGTTGGTGTGAAGACTTTATGAAGTCCTAAACAGCACTTCCCCTTATGTTTTTTAACGGAACCTTTTAAAATGAGCCTTCTTGCCTATCCAAGTTCTTCCTGAAAGGAATGAAAGCGCCAGATGGCAGATACTTTCACATCCTTCCCACACAAGAAACAGCATGAAGTGACTCCCCTCGGAGACTCCACTCCTGTTTTCCCAAAGGCAACATCAGGAGCCACTAAGTTAGACAACATTTGGCCCCCACACGCCCAAAGAGAGAGAGAAACGGGATGGAGGCGGGAAGGGATTGCCCTCCTGTTTACACTAGGAAGCCAGCACCCAGAGCACTGCTAGTCGTGGTCCTAAGGCTGGAGAGCGGTGCTTCAACCCCCAGCCGGCTCTCCACATTAAGCAAAAAGGTAAAAAGAAAGTAACTTCGAAAACAAGCCCTGGGGTCCCTGACCCCAAGGCTTGAGATTCTCTTCTAGAAAACCGCACCCCACTCCCCCACTCCTGCCCGCCAAAACGCCCATCTCTCAGTGGATTAGGGAACGTAAGGCCTATCTCTAGGAAAATCTCCGGCCAGGCAGGACCGTGGTGGCCGGCCCGCTGCCCTCCCCTAACACCAGCATCTGGCAGGGTCCTTACCTCTTCTAGTCGACGGGGATGCAGAGCTGGTGGCAGAGTTGTAGGCGCCAAGCACCTTTCGGGGGGCTCGAGAAGCCACCACTGCAAAGAAGCAGCAGCAAAGAAGGCTCGTAAGAGAGAGGCTCGCGAAGGTTCTTCCATGCCCCCCTCCCCTGCCGCCAGTCTCCAGGCCACTTTCTCAACGCAACCGCCCCCACCTCTGTCCCAGGACCCCCCAAGGCTCGGAGAAGAGCACCCCGCGTGCAGGCAATGGTCACTCCCCGATCCTTTGCAGTTCCCACCGCTTCTCCACCAAGGTCAAGGGGCCACCAAGGCGCACGGGGCCAGCCTGAGGACCCCGCGCGTGGGCCGAGGAAGCGGCCATCTCCCGCTTCGCCAAGGGCTGCCAGGGGCACGGCTGCCCTCCTGGACACCGCGCCCCCTAGTCACCGCCACCGTACCTTTTCTGTAGGTGCTCGGGACGCTATCGGCTTTAGTTCGTACCATGTTGTTGGAACCCGAGGAGATGAATCTAAGAAGCACCAGTCGGTCGGCCGAAAGTCCTCCTAGCTGCTCGGGTGCCAGTGGACAGAGACGCGTAGCAGCGGGCTCCCGCCTCCGTTTATATGGCTCTCTTTCCCGCGCGCTCCAAGCCCTCTGGCGAGCCACCGCGCCCATTGGTTCTGCGCCGTTCTCCCCGGACCAATTGCCAAGGACCCACGCAAGGGAGGAAAGGCTGGACGGGACACCCACCCGTCCATCAAGTCGCTGAGGTTTGTGATTCGTACCCGCGCCAGGTGGGCGGTGCCAGGGCGCTCTCCAGAGCGGGTACCCAGGGGTGAGTGCTGAGAATTCGCAAGAAAAAATGTGGGCCGTATTAGAAAAAGTGACATTAGTAAAAATGCAAACAAGCAAAAACAGAAAATTACAACTTATTTTTTCAAAAGTTACCATATGATGAACTTAAATTTCAACCTGTTTTCTCCCTGGAAAGGTTGAAATTAAGCAAACTTTTCCTACAAAATAGAAGGGTTTTTGAGTGATTTAACCGCCCCACCCACCTACCCATTCCACGTGAACGCTGATCTCAGCGTCCGTATTAAAATACTTCTATGGCCTGGGGGAAAGGGAGTTAATATAGTTGACTTAATAAAGACTTTTGTTTTTACACAATAGGAAACTTAAGAAAAATAGGTGACATTTATGCACACATAGAAAAAATAATGAAACGTCTTCCCCAAGTCTGTTATGATCTCTGAACAGCTCCTTAAAAAAAAAAAAAAAAACTCTGTGTAAAGGGCACAGGATGAGCTTAAACCGAGTGAGCACAACTCTAGAATGGAGGAACATAAGTGTTTTCTGTTTCAATGCTTTTATTATTGCTTCAGTATTCCCTGTATTCACTTTCTGAATAGTATGAATAAAACGAGATCAGATAAACTAGCCCTGGATGTATTCGGTTAACTGCTCAATTGAAAGACAATCCTAGAGGCGATCAGATCTTTGAGTTCCGCACACACACACAACACGCACACTTTGAATTTTAATGGAGTCATTAACTATTTAGTGTAGAAGTTAGGGTTCTAGACCCAATCTAACTGAGGGAAATATATTGGCAGTTGCTTAGGGATTTTTTTTTCCCCCTCCTTAACCTAAGAGTCTAAAGTTAGAGCCAGATTCATACCAGATCCCCAAGCCCCAGGGTGTTCCTTTGTTCTCTAAGCCCTGTGATTGCTAAATTCCATGAGTGTCCTTTGCAGTTACAGACCCATTTACCTGACTCGGAATCCTTTGATTTGAACTCCTGTCCCAGATGCCAGCAGAGATTAGAACTTCAGAGCCTTACCAATTTGTTTGTTCTTCTTCCTTGTACATACCAACTAAATTTCCACAAAGAATCGCAAATATGCCTTTTTATGTAGGGACAACCTGCAAAGAGCAGGTCTTCAAAGAAGTTGATAGAAATCTTATTTTTAAGAAACTGTGCATGAATTTCAAAATTATTTTTGCGACAAAACTTACAATTTAATTCCATTTGATATGAATTTTTGAGGTGCTCTCATGTTGCTGTAATTGTGTTTTTATTAGTATGTTGTGTTTTGTATCCGAATGATGGCAGTCAGTGGTGTGCGTTATGGAAAAGTAGAAAGAGAGAGAGAGAGAGAAAGAAAAGAAAAGAAAGGAAGGAAAGAGTACACAGAGAAAATTTAATTGAAATATTCACTTTTTTCTCCTTTAGAATTCAAGTTATGATTTGAGCCTCAAAATATTGAAAGACTAAGACTTTAAGAAAGCTTGTAGTAGATTTGACTAGAATTTCCACCTAAACTTATACCAGAAAAGATCTTTAAGTCTTTTAACATGAATGTGTTTTCTTTCTCTGTTTAGTAGTTTTTAAAATAGACATGAGCTGGCATTGTGGTACAGCAGATTAAGCCATTTCCATAACACTGGCATCCCTTATTAGCATGGGTTTGAGTTTTGGATGCCCCGCTAGTTCACTCCCCAGATGACTTCAGTGATCAGAGCTGTGCAACACCCAGAAAGAAGCTTCATCCAGGTCTCCCAGAGGGTGCCAGGACCCAAACCCTTGGCCATCCTCCCAGTGTTTTCACAGGTAGATTAGCAGGAAGCTGGACAGGAACTGAAAGCAGCTAGGACGTGAATGGGTGCGTCTTTTAGGATGCTGGCATTGCATTGTAACTTTACCCATTATGCCACAGACTTGGCTGCTATACCAATGATCTTAGCCTCTTGCTAACTGCACCTGAGAAAGCAGCAAAAGATAACCCAAGTGCCTGGGCCCCTGCGACTGCCGTGGGAGACCTGCATAGAGTTAGAGGCTCCTGGCTTCAGCCGGGCCCAGCCCCAGCTATGGTGCTCATTTGTAAATGGGCCAGAACACAAAAGATTTCTCCCTCTCTGTTTAGAGCTCTGCCTCTCAAATAAATCAGTCTTGAATAATAAATCATCACGTGTGGCAGGCATTTTACACAGGAGTTAGGATGCCACTTGGGACACCCATGTCTCTTATTGGAATGTTGAGGTTCTGACCCCTGCTCAGCTTCCAGCATCACTTCTGCAGTACTTCACTAATGTACAGCAGGTAATGGTTAAAGTACTTAGGTCCCTGACACATGGGAGACACAATGAAGTTTTGGGCTCTTGGCTTCTGCCTGGCCCAGCCCAACCCTGACTGGTGCTGGCATCTGGCAACTAAAGCAGCAGATGGAAAAACACTCATTCTGCTCTGCCACTCTGCCTTTTAAATAAATAAACTGGTAAAATTTTGAAAAACATGAGCCTGGCGCCGTGGCCTAGCTGCTAAAATCCTCTCCTTGAATGTGCCAGGATCCCATATGGGCGCCGATTCTAATCCCAGCAGTCCCACTTCCCATCCAGCTCCCTGCTTGTGGCCTGGGAAGGCAGTCGAGGACGGCACAAAGCTTTGGGACCCTGCACCCGTGTGGGAGACCTGGAAGAAGTTCCTGGCTCCTGGCTTCGGATCGGCATAGCATTGGCTGTTGTGCTCACTTGGGGAGTGAATCATCAGATGGAAGATCTTCCTCTCTGTCTCTCCTCTCTGTATATCTGACTTTCCAATAAATAAATAAATCTTTTAAAAAATTGAAAAATATCCTAAATGACATTACAAACTACAGATTGCAGTTATTTTTGAAAATGTATTTATGTTTAATTGAAAGTCAGAGCTACATCAGAGACAGAAGGAGAAGTAGATACCTCCCATTTGCTAGTTCACTCCCCAGTGGCTGCAGTAGCCACGGCTAAGCCAGTCTGAAGCCAGGAGATAGGAATTTATTCTTGGCCTCCCACATGAATGCAGGGGCTCAAGGAATTGGGCCATCCTCTGCTGTTTTCCAGGCCATTATCAGGGAGCTGGAGGGGAAATGGAAAATCTAGGACTTGAATTGGTGCCTAATGAGATACTAGCATCTCAGGTGGTGATTTCATGTGCTACACCACAATACCGATCTGTTATGATTATTGATGGATGCCTTATGAGAAAAGGATGCGTATTTTATTTAAAAAAAAAAAATTTCAGGGCCCGGCACGGTGGTGTAGTGGTTAAGGTCCTCGCTTTGCATGCCTGGGATCCCATATGGGCACCGGTTTTAATCCCAGCAGTCCTGCTTCCTATCCAGCTCCCTGCCTGTGGCCTGGGAAAGCAGTTGAGGACTGCCTAAAGCCTTGGGACCCTGCACCCGCGTGGGACACCCAGACGAGGCTCCTGGCTTCGGTTCGGCTCAGCTCCAGCCGTTGAGGCTGCCTGGGGAGTGAATCATCGGACGGAAGATCTTCCTCTCTGTCTTCTCCTCTCTGTATATCCACCTTTCCAACAAAACTAAAAAATAAATCTTTAAAAAAAATTTTTCACTAGGCCCGGTGCAATTTTCCTAGTGACTAAAGTCCTTACCTTACACACGCTGGGATCCCATATGGCCGCCAGTTGTAATCCTGGTGGCTATACTTCCCATCCAGCTCCCTGCATGTTGGCCTGAGAAAGCAGTCTAGAACAGCCCAAAGCTTTGCGACCCTGCACCCCTGAGGAAGACCCAGAAGAGGCTCCTGACTTCAGATTGGCTCAGCTCTGGCCATTGCAGCCGCTTGGGAAGTGAATCATTGGACGGAAGATCTTCCTCTCTGTCTCTCCTTCTCTGTATATCTGACTGTCCAACAAAAATAAATCTTGTTAAAAAAATTTTTTTAGGGCCCGGCGCGCTGGCGCAAGTGGTTAAAGGTCCTCGCCTTGCACGCCCGGGATCCCATATGGGCGCCGGTTCTAATCCCAGCAGCCCCGCTTCCCTTCCAGCTCCCTGCCTGTGGCCTGGGAAAGCAGTCGAGGATGGCCCAAAGCTTTGGGAACCTGCACCCGCGTGGGAGACCCGGAAGGGGCTCCTGGCTTCGGATCGGCATAGTATCGGCCCGTTGCGCTCACTTGGGGAGTGAATCATCGGACGGAGGATCTTCCTCTCTGTCTCTCATCTCTGTATATCCGCCTTTCCAATGAAAAAATAATAAAAATAAATCTTTTTTAAAAAAAAAAGAAAAAAAATTTTTTAAAAGACGCATTTACATGAAAGGCAGAAAACTGAGAGAGAGAGAGAGAGAGAGAGAGAAAGACGAGAGAGAGAAAGACGAGAGATCTGCTGGTTCACTCTCACAGTGATCATAATGGTCACAGTGGCTAAGGGCTGGCTGGGCCAGGCTGAAGCTGGAAACTAGAAATCCCGTTCCAGTCTCCTACATAAGTGGCACAGCCCAAGTGCTTAGATCATATTCCAGTTTTGCTAGGGAACCAGATGGAAAAGCAGAGCAGCCTGACAGTCAGCACTTCATTGTGGGATGCTGACACTTCAAATGGCAGCTTAACCCGATGTAGCACATCACTGACCCCTACTGTGCAAAACATTTGAGATAATCTCAGGCCTGTACTGTGGGATAATGAGTTAAACCACTATCGGCAGTGCTGGCATCCAACATAGGCGCTGATGCTTTGAGTCGATTGCTCCACTTCCAATCTACCTCCTGGCTGGTATATCTGGGAAAGCAGTGGAAGATGGCCCAACCTTTTGGGGCCCATATGGGAGATTAGAATGGGGCTCTTAAGTCATGGCTCTGGCCT